CAGCTGAGCTACAAGGCCAAATCGATAGCACTGATCTTTTCACATTCGAATTACCCATCCAACTTTCAGAAGCATATGGCATCCAACAGTCAGCATGTAAGCTAAAAGCCCCGCTGGAAAATATCGTGCCCGAGTGAACCAGAACCCATTACACCGCCAGGCTTTTAAGCTCACAAAAGGCATCAATTCGGGGTTTCGCATTATCTGTTTGCCTCCTCCATCGTGCCACGTGTAACAATGATTTTGAGGGACCTTCTCGGATATCTTCGTTCCTTCCAGGTCATTGAGACTAACGTGAGCATATAGATACCGTCCAAACATAGGAGCTTGCATCAGTCTGTCCATCAGTGACTCATCACGGTTGTTAGGTGCCATGCGAAAGTGGAAGGTCTATTTATGTCTATCTATGTCTAGCATACCGATTTTTAAACCGATTCGTATGTATGAAGTCCAGAAGGAGAGCAAAACTGTTATCGAGGTTGTTTTATACATCCTCCTTAAAATAAAAGACAATTGGATGAAAGTTTGTATTTGGGCTTTGCAATTGGTTGACTTCGAGATTCTCAAAAATAGTGATCTTCGTATATTTGGGACCGGAGATAACCCAAAATCCTTGAGGGTTCAAAACTTTGTTGTGATTTATATATATATATATACATATATATATATATATTGTCTGCATTAGCTTTTCCCCTGCGTCACCTGCAGCTAGGATAAAACCCTGGAAGTTCTTAAGGCTCTCGATTATGTCTAATCGGTCACCAGAAAGAGCGATTGCAAGCACAGACCCCTGTCAGTTGTGCACAAGATTTTTCTTTATCTAGATGCCTTAAAGCCACTGTTTGTACGAGAACAAGAACTAACTCAACTCCGGGAAGATCGGAATCCGCGATCTCAGCACCTCCAGAGAAAAGGTTGAGTAAAACCTCACAGATTTCTTGGACGGGAGCATCAATAGTTTGATAAAGCGGAAGTTTCGGATGCCATTTTTATAGAACACACATCGACAGTTAGGATCTCGAGCGTAAGAGCTAGACACGCCTTAAATGAAGCTAACCTGAAGGAGCTTGGAGTAGAAATTAGAGCTTCTGCTGGTGGAGGAGATTATGTGAAAATTAGTTACACGTAGATAAAGTATTCAACAGAATAGAGATAAGGTTTCCATCTGTGTCATTGCTGCTAATTTGGTCATCTGAATTTGCCGATACGAATGAATGGTAAATAAAGACTTGCACGTGTTCACACACACCGTTAATTGCTTGCTTCACTTTTCTATCATTATATTCGGTGCTCATAAAGTATTGCATTACACTGTCCGGACCGACTGCCCTACCTAACCGCACCTTGATCACACTTAACACCAAAACTTGCGTGTTCACTAGGTTTCGTGAACCGATGGATGGCACGTAGACACATTTGTTTGCTCCCCAGTCTACAGCCCGGCCGCAAATAGATAAACTGTCTACCTGAATCTGTTATTATTCACGTGCTTAACCGGAGCACCTTGCTTGAGATATTGCATTTAACATTATCCTGTACAATAACCGCCCTGCACGTATCTATCTCTGAGCAAAGATACTCCCGTGTTGCCCAGAATTATTGTGCAACCATACCGGTGAATTATACTTCATCCACAATAGCGATGTAACGCTTGGCAACCGCTCCAGTAATATTTTATCTTGAGTGCTTGTATCTCGCTGGACCTTTTTGGTTCATGGAGCTTTTTGTTTGCTTTGCCTTGCAGGTTTAACTTTAACCTCGACTCATGGAAGGCTTGTCTTCCAGTGTTTCCTCGTCAACCCGTATCCCGCATCCCTACCGCAGTTCCTCGTCATCGTTCGTCATCCGCAAAGCCTCGTATCATCTCCCGCTGCGAGAATACTAGCCGAAGGACATTCTTCCTCGCATCCTCGTTCATTGCGCTGCGTTGCAAGAGCCCGTAGTACGTTCGCATTACAGTGGTACCCTTCGCTACGAGCAGTTTTTTCATCTTACCAATGGTGCATAATACCGTGGAATATATCATTCATATAGGTAGGACCCAATGTACTCACAAGAGAGGTATATTTCCACGAGATGAACTGACTGTCAAAAATAGCCTTGTGTGCTGCTTCTCGACTGTATGTTTTAAATTGAGGGTGTCGTGTACACTAAAATAAATCGGTCCATTTTATTTTTAAACTATATATGTATTTATACACAATGAACTGCACTTTGCGAACGTTATCATGGCAACTTTAGAAAACAGTCTCAAAGCTTTAGAATCAGGTGTGTTTTAGCCACAACATGAGTACCAAAACACAAGATTTCGGTGACAACNGTTGTCACCGAAATCTTGTGTTTTGGTACTCACGTTGTGGCTAAAACAAACCTGATTCTATTGTTACCATGAGCACAACGCCCAAATTTTTCGAAATGATCCGGAACACCTATGGATTATTAACTGTTTAGTCTGAAAGCTTCATCTGAAGAATGTAAGCCTCAACAAAATAATCTGTCGACGATTTTTTGTTTCATTCGTGAATATAAGTAGTAGTAGTAGTAGTAGTAGTAGTAGTAGTAGTAGTAGTAGTAGTAGTAGTAGTAGTAGTAGTAGTAGTAGTAGTAGTAGTAGTAGTAGTAGTAGTAGTAGTAGTAGTAGTAGTAGCGGTAGTGGTAGTAGTAGTAGTGACAAGTGACATTATCACGGAGATAGTTACTTAAACGTTGACAACCGCAATCAGTCAATCCTTTCATGAAACTAAACCTCGTTATAGCACTTGCGTCCCCAGGCTGCAACTCATAAGTTTCTGTTTCCGAAATCTCATTCTGCTTTCACTCTTTCACTTGTTCCAGTAGAACGATGTGCATCGATTGCTCGAGCAGGCGCTCGACTCAGCTTGACTCCGGCTTGGTTGCACACTAGGATGACAACGTCAGTGGCGAAGACAACTTGCTTCTATCTTGTCAAGTCAGGTCACTTGGTTGACTTGATCAGGGTGTTTCTCCCCGTTTATCAGATTTGAGAGCAACAATCTAAGAGGATTGAAAATTGCATCCTGACCACAGCGGAAGCAGTGAAAGTTCATATTCACATACACACGCACGCACACACACACACACGCACACACAAAACCCGGCTGTGTGTGAACCAAACAACGTGTGTTCATGTCTTTATGTATCTCATGGCCCATCACTTACCCCAATTCTACTCGTCCATCCCGATCTTGACCGTATCGAAACTTGATATCATACTGGAATCAGTACACATTATCTATATTTCATTCTATTCAAATATTTCACTTTTTGTTTGTACTATTGCTGTCTTCCTTTTATGTTCTAGTTATATAAATTGTGATGTATATAAGCCAAAGAAAGTTAACCGCTGAAAACAAAAAAACCCCGCTCACTGCATTGTTTTTTATTCAAAATAATTAGTAGAATACCTTATTTTTTCTAATTTTTATCTGTTATTTTCTGGTGACGGATTTACTTCACCTCCATTCCAATCGAATGGCGTTTCACAATGTTTGTCACATCGCGGTCAGCCAAAAAAGATGTGCCGAACGTCTCAAATTTCTCACCGTAAAGATCACTGAACAGGGGATAGAACGAAAAAAGAATGGAACAACAATGGAACAATACGATATTGTATGAATTCGAAGGTATCAGCCTAATAGCTTCAACCCCTACAGCACGGTCGTCTCCAGTATCAAGATGGTAACACTCAGAAACGTTCGCATAGATCAACATCAACGTTGATTTTCCGCTTTTTTTATCATCATCATCATCATCATCTCTGACAAGAGTGTCTTGCGAAGTCATCAAATTTTCTGTGTGCATCATTTTTATTACTCCCAGGCGCCACAGTTTACAAAGTGCGACTAAATTTGAAATAGGGGATCCAGCATCGAGTAGAATGTTTGAATGCCAGTTAACAGCTGTTCGTTCATCATCAGTGTTTTGGTAAGGCACCCACTCCCGTTTGATGTGACTTTGAATATGAGACCAGTATGCGTGGAAAGCTGAAACGTGGACAGGGATATATCTCATTGTGCAAATGTGTCACTTATTTGGATAGACGACAGCCAAAGACCGGTCTGCCAACTGGCAAATGATGTTATACAATGTGACACGCCTATCGGAAGTCCTTTTGGTAGTATGAACCACAAAGCGGTGGAAATGGAAGTGAGTAAATTTTTGCCCCTACGCGTAAGTCGCATCGAAAATGTTTCGTAAGTGTATAATCATTGAACTGACATACATCCGACTGAGGGTGCGAGAATTGTAAACAGTGACAATCATATCTTCGTTCTAGTCCCACGGTTGTTCATTCCATGATAGACCACCAAAAAGCAAAGCAGTTGTTATGCATTATGTAGTAGAAATATTTTACGTGGGCATTATCCACTGCAAAGGGGTTTCACAGATAAGCAAACTCCTGTTTGAAAGGACAGGAAAATCAAAGGATGTGCAGCTCAAATGTGAGTAGAAGTTATTGAATATTTTTATTTTCAGCGCACAACTACCTGTGAGTAGTAGCAGTGTGGAACACACGTTTTTCATCGAAACTGGTTGTCAATTTGACACCATCGTTACGCACAGTCCTCAGTTCACCCAGCCAACCATAAAAGCGGGAAGCGGAGATGTCCCAAACGGACTTTTTCGATTGATGTCTTTAAATAGAATTTTCCATATGAATTTTTTGTACCCATCTCTGCCTCGTCGACGATAAACACCGTCTGCCACGAAGTTCACTCACAACTGAGCATCGTCACTCGTTAGTTCAGTAACAATGTCATGTCATTTCTAACCCCTCTCTTAAATCTGAACAATATTCAACGTAAAGATGAGATCAGTTTCCTCCATAAATAGTTAAAACTTAAGTGTGTTACAGCTTGAGCACCATGCATATATATATATATATATACGTGATCTGTGTATTGCTGTAGTGACCTAGGTCACACTACTGCGCAGTTCAGTTATTCGACTCACAGCCCGAAGATTCCCGGTTCGAGATCCGATCGGGACACAAAAATAGAATTCACTTCTGATGAGTTTTAACAAAAAGAAAATCGACGTCTAACAGTTCGATATTATTCAGTGTTTCAATGTCCATTTACCAGGTAACATTCACATTCCCTCGTTATTTTCTTGGAGGAGAAAGAAATGAATTTGCCACTTCAGTGAGCGTCTTCACTGTTAAATGGTTACACTTGTCATCATAATCTAACTCAAACTCTTTTATTTAGATGAAAAAGTAGCAACCAAAAGAGATTTCTTCAATTCAGCCTATTTTTATTCCAGACACTGTTTGCACAATCCACCATTTATCTATCATAACACCCGATAATGGAACTTTAACTTGTCTGGCACCGGGGTGTAGGACTTCAATGAGGGAAACAAAAAAGAGCCACACAATTCGACTCGTTCAATCCAGTGCTGTGAAAGATGCTAAGATAATTTCTTTAATCACTCATCCCTTGAAATTCATTGAACTATGCAATGCGTATGATTATTATCCTTATTATCATCACCGCCACTTTCATGTGGCAGAATGACCCCATTAAAATCTTGAACGATGAATTATTGGAGTATAGATGAGGCAGTAGGCCAGGAACACAGCTATACAATCACAGAGTTAAATCGCACTCAATGTCATCAGATTTCTTGAACTTGTAGTACAATCGCCGAGCGCATCATTACTGAAGCACAAACAGAGGATCAATGTGACATGAAGTGAGACGGATGGCACAATGCAGTGTTCGATCTGTCGAGCATTTGTTCTCTGTCTCTCTCTCTCTCTCACTGTGTCGTAACACACTTACACATGTGCGATCTCTCATTTGGGTCACCTTGTCAACGTATCACCTGTAACACTAGTACAGGACACCGTGATTGTCAGCATGTTTCTCAAAAGTAAATCAATTATTCTCCAACTGAACGCACACTCCGGGCTGGAGGTCAGGAGAACGATTTTGTTTCTACATGGTTGGAGCTTGACCAAGAGAGAATCTGTACATGTGTGCATATATATATATATGTATATCCATGTATTTAAACAACTAAACGACACGGGTAAATGAAGTATTGCTCTCGAATCGTTGGTTTCAACCTTTGGTAAAAACAATGCTCGCTAGAGCTTTCGCGGTCTATGCTTTCATCCTCAGCAGTTTCACCATTTCTACCGGTAAGTTTTAGAATTATATTTGGATTCAACGGTTATGGTACATTGTGCTCAACCGTGTTCTACAAACACTTATTTGGTCAGTTCTATTATTAAACAATTATTGTGCAAAATTAGAGTATTCATTTGGTCGTATTTCAGTCACACGTCACGTTCATTGGTCCACTCATCGTACTTCCTAAACGTATGCGCTAATCATTCTTTATCACTAAATCAAGGCAACAATTACGTATACTGCTGTACTGAGTGTGTTACTCACAGAGGATGATCAGTCGCATATCGCATCGCCATAATTTTCATATATCCTTGTGGAAGAACCACGACACAAATACTCAATTTGGTCCTTTCCTCCCTCCGTACTCCCCTCCCCCGATCCCCGATACCCGATCCCCGATCTCCGATCCCCGATCCCCGATCCCCGATACCCGATCCCCGATCTCCGATCCCCGATCCCCGATACCCGATACCCGATCCCCGATCTCCGATCCCCGATACCCGATCCCCGATCCCCGATCCCTGCTTCGATAGCGATAATGAAATGCTCCGATTGTTGTGTACCAAACAAATTATCATCCATTCTCATCGTGTGTGTGTGTGACCTGATTAGTTCATTGATTCTGAACGTAGCATGCGTGTTTCATGCAATGTTTTGGATTTTTATCAAGAAACAACACCAATCTGTCATGCACACAAATGGCCCGTATAATGGTGGTTGTATCCAAAAAATAATTATGGTGAACCGCTGAAGTTGGATAAACTCTGACAGTATACGATTCTTTAGCTGAAAAACAAAATAACAAATCTGACATAATGACTAACAGACTAAAGTTGAAAGTTGAAATAGTTTTGGTTTATAGTCTACGTTCCGACCATGCCGCGTCAGCGTCGCAACCCTCACGCGATTGGCCTAGAGCCCCGATATCCATTTGACGTATAGATCCCCTCATCTGTATACAAGCATGAATTTTGAGAAAGGAAAAATTGCCATTATTTGACTCTTTACTGAAAAATATAACTGTTAAAATAATTACACTAATAATAATAATAATAATAATAACATCAGTGACAGTAATTGTACCAGTAAATATATGTCTTGCCTATTATGCTTTTGCGCAAAAGCAAATCATGTGCAAACCCCATTATGTGCCTTTTCTGGATTTTTTTTTCATTCCAATACAACCAACCAAACAGTGACCGCTATTGACTGTTACACCTGTGCTATCTGCCAGATTCCGTTCACCAGTGCGGGGATGGAGAAAGCTTCTGAATGTACCCAATGTGGAGTAAGTGAAACTCATTAGACTAACATGTTCGGACTGTATATTCTCGCTAAGTCCGTTGCTTGTCTATGTTGCCGGATCGGACTATTTATCCAGTCCACAATTAACAATTAACACAATTCTGAATCTTTGCACAAGCTGGTCCAGTGAAACGGCAGGGTATCAGTAAATACCGAAAAATAGGTGTGCAACAGAAACATATCCATGACAAGCTTTCCGCTGTGGTTTTCTCTTTTATAAATCGCCTGTTTATATGCCCTTGAAAAGACCAGTGAAGTGAAGAATTCTTTCCGATTACTCATTCTCAAGCTTCCACATTATTATCATGATCACAAGGTGGCAACAAAAGTTATGTTGTCATGATATATAAAATAAACCGGGGTCAGGGAGGGGGTGACAGAATTGTAATCACTTGATTAAGCAGATTACGGAACACGGTGATTCAGTCATCGTTTGATTTTCTGAACAATTACGTCGAATTGTCGGGCCATGGCCTACTCAATTCACTTTTGTTTGCATATTTCCGGGTGGTGGACACAAATAGACACCGCCTGGGCTGTGCAAAGCATAATCTGCTGCAGTTGTTTTGACTTTAAATGACCTTTCCACATCTATCGCATGCCTCGTGTTAATAACATGCTCCACAATTGAGCTACGAATGGCCTTTGATAGCCCTTTTCTCAATGGTCCCACCTTCATTTCGAACAGAAACGACCGAATGATCGTGTTACGTAATCTGCTTAATCAAGTGATCCGCGTAACTATGGGGTTAAGCCCTTCTGTATTGTTCATCGCGGAATAATGAGTAACAAAAATTGGTTGTACAACCAATTATTGAAAGATATCAGCATTAATAATTACTGCCGCCGCCGGAATTTGGCGGGATTTGGAGCGTGTTGAATGATGGGAACGACAACTTACCCGGTCTGCGTGCAACGGG